GACTTTCTGTGTGCAATTGGCTGTTGGACATTATACATTGCATAAGACAAGGTCTCAAGCAGAGAAGTTACATAAGCAAAATAAATAAATAAATAAATAAATAAAGGGTCACATTCCAGACAGAGACCAGATCCTAAGGCGAAAACCCAAATAACTCTGTCATTTTCAGATGATGTATGGGGAAAGACCATATATTAAATATTAGGATCATATTGCATTTACTCTAAGAGTGGAACAGAACTCGACTGAAAGAATAGAAGACTTGGGATCCCATTTAACTCTCCTCACATATGATCCATCAGATAAGCAAAATCACTGGAAATGTGGTCTTTCTCTTTTTGCCTTTATCTCTTCTATTCAACACATAGGTAATGCGTCAGTGTCCACATTAGACAACTTCCCTCAATAATTTCAAACGGTGTGAGAAACAGTCACTGCCCACAGAGCACATGAGAAAAACATAAAGGCCATGCGTGCAAGAGCTTGAAGCTCCAAGGAGGATGTGTGAACTTGGCATTACAGAATGAATGTAAAAGGCATGGAAGCAGGGATGTGCAGAGCTCATGTTTAGGAAAAAGGACTGCTTCAGGTCACTGGGTCTAAGACTTGTGGTAAGGAAAGGTGGTAAGAGTGACCGCAGAGGAATCTGGTCTCCCCGCCATAGTCAGGACTTGTGATCACGCTCAAGGAGAAGGCCACTGCATGGGCTTCAAGTATAAATAATTTAAGCTCCAAAGTCCTTAGAGATTTCCTTGGGACAGCTTTCCGGAACTACCCATTTTCACTAACAGTCTCCCCTGTGGTATCTCTTGGTGTGAGCGTATGAGCAAGAGATGATTGAAATTTACCAGAATGACTAGAGCAAATAATTGAGCGTCAGCTTCCTCAGTTGCAAATGGGCCAAATTGTTATGATACCAGATTTTGGAGCTATATAAACTCGCAGTGAGAACCTTAGATAAGGAATTCCCTTAACTACACCGAGTCTCGGAATCTCTTCAACAAAATGGTGGTAGCAATAACTGAAATAACAGATATAAAATGCTTTGTTGAAGTATGGCTTACGGTAGATACTACCGTAATAACTGAGAAAATGACACTGAATTACATAAATCAATGAGATTTCATTGTCACAAAATGTATAATTTGTTCCCAGAAGAGTTATTTTGGGAGACTGGCTAAATCGTGCCAACAAAAGCCAAATTCACCCGGAAGCTTAAACTAGTACATTTGTTCCTCCCCGCCCACACGGCGGGTCACGCCCCCAATCGGTAAGCTCCGCCCCCAGGTATTGACAGACCCGCCCATCGTTCCTCCCAGGCCTCGCCCCTCCCGTCAGCACCCGATGCGCCTGCGCAGTGTCAGCCGCCGTCAGCGGTAATGAGGGTTCTGGTGCGGCGCTGCTGGGGAACGGGGTCGGCGGGAGGCGGCGCGGGCAGGAGGCTTAGCCCCCAGTGGCTAGCGCTGGCCGGTCTCGGCCGGTCATCTGGCGGGGAGGATGGCCCGGGCGCCCGCGTCCGCGAGAAGCCGCCCTGGCGAGTGCTTTTCTTCGGCACAGACCATTTCGCCCGCGAAGCGCTGCGGGCGCTGCACGCTGCCAGGTACCGGGGCCGGGCGTGGGGGGCCTGGCTGCCCAAGTCGCGGCTGTCGCGCCTCCGCGGCTGACCCCGTGGGCTTGGACTTTGTGTTGGCGAAAGCAGCGGCGCCAGCTCCGGAGGCGTGTGGGCCTACAACTCCAGGTGCCCGGAAAGTACGCAGCGCCTGCGGGTCTGGTCATGTCTGCACCCCCAACTCCGGGCCCTGTCTGTTCTGGCTTTACCTGGAGCCTTGCTTGGCGCAGCCTTTGCTAGTCACTTTGCACACATACCTCAGTCCATTCCCTCCGCCTCCCCGCACTTTTTGCCTGTAGGGAAACAGGAGTTCAGAAAGCGGTTGACCAAGGTCATCAGCCGCGTTGTTTGGGTCTAAAACGGGTTCTGACTTCAGAGTCCTTCTCTTCCCACTTACTCCTA